TGAATCGGAATTAAGCTTGATTATCTGTGAGCTCAGTCTTTATTATCTTACGTATTCTATTCAAAATTATTGGTAATATCTTACCAGCACGGAATATCAATTAAATTCTCTTACAAGTTAGGTCGCCTCTCTTTAATGATTAGCACTGACAAAAAATCTGCATAGCCATCTCACTAATTTCAGACTTCTACATTTATGAGAATCCTTATGGCACGTTTGATCTCTGAATTCAAACGATGGCTGTTCCAGTTCCTCAAGCAGAAGAAAATGGCGGGTATGAGATTCCTCACATTACTCCATTTGCCATCGAGGTGCTTTGTGTTTGTTCGTCAATAAACTAACAACCGCGATTTGGTCAAATTAGGACATGGAAAGGAGACCCTGAAATAATTCGCCAGTCCTCATTAGATACATGTCTATCCTCTGTTCTGACAGTATTCGATGTGGGCCAAACAGACTGTTTAAAAATTTTTCAAGATATACGATTAAATGCGTGGATCTCGATAGATTTTTCTGATTTTCCTGATCCCTCTATTTTCATACCAGATTTACAGTTTCATCAAAAATCCGGTGCTAAATATGTTGTAATTTCAATGAGCTAACAGTCTTTACTCCTGCGCTTAACATCGCTGCTCGGAGGTTTTCGGCGCCTTGGCTGAACTTCCTGCTGTATGGTGTTAATGCAGGCGAGTATAACAGCCCTTAAGCTGTAAATTCTTTGTCCACTTTTTCAATATAGAAACAACTATGCTTTTACGTCAAAAACTTTTGCCAGATCTTAAGTGTTTTAATGAGCAGACAATGATCGCTGTTATAGTCTGCAATCTCTGATGGATAAGCTTTGAAAGACTGATTAAGAACAACAGCGGTGCCTTACACTAATCGGCGAATATAGTAGTTCGTACAAGTACGATTATTCGTACTAGCTCGTTTACAGGGTCAACATAAAGAAACTTGCTTTCCGGCATCCACTGCTACTCCAGACCAATCTCGTCGGACGATATCAAGGCCTTTGACCTCTTTACGTTCGACCCAGGTTCCATCAGGCAATCGCGACGCCGCCAAACCCGCGTATTTTTTCTTTTTAAGAAGCAATAGTTTTTTGTAAATGCCGTCGATATCAAGCTCAAGCAGCTTGTAACGTTTGTTCACTTCTTGTTTAATCTACAATTTTAAATACCATCATTCAAATGGCAGCATTGTCAGTCACAAACTGGTTTGCAAGAATGTTAAATAACGAGTAACAAGCATTATCTACGCTTTAGCATATAACCTCTCGAAAATAACGATACAGATATAAAAAACAAAAGAAGTACATAATACTAAAAGACTCGAAAGCGCTAAGAACACACTGAAAAAATTCAAACCTTCCTTCCTAGATCTAGCGCCACTTCGAAATGATACTGATTCGAGTTGATCATAATTGAATCGGTATCTCCGTAGATCACATCATATCCCAACTTTTCGACCAGAGTTCTGGTATCAATCAGAATCTATATTGAAAATGTTAACATCTGTTTTGACGGCGCGCCTGGGTCAAGTAGCAATTTAATAATTACCTCTCGACCTTTGGAGGTAATGAGTGCTGCCAACGATTTTGCATAGAAGCGAGATGCCGTGAATCCTAGACATCCATATATGCTATTGGCCGTAATCTTTAATGCTTGCTGTCTAATGTTATACTAAACGACGACGATGGTGACTTTTAAGCAGAAAACGCCGTATTCGCATGAGGAAACCTGTTGCATGACGTCAGCGGGGACGTTTTTGCCGTTCATCAAGCTTTTAACCTGCTTACGAGACTGCACAAGTTTATGGATTTCGACGGGAAGAATGCCTAAGTCTTTGGACACCGAAGATATATCCGGTATTTCATTTTCGTTCTATGGAAGAAACGCCTGAAAGCTGAGCAAATGCATGATTAACAAAATGTGTTACTTCAGTCGATGTATCAACGCCGTTTTGAAGCGGGACTGTAGTAAAGCAGATATTGAACTCTTGAATAATTGACGGATACAAACTGTTGAAATCTAACAGCAGAATGATCCGGTCGTATAAGCCTAAACAGGAGTAAATTCGACAGAGAATAAATGATAAACATAAAACCAACTAAAACAGAGAGATTCAAGGTAACGAATGCAGCCGAGGTCAATATTCGTAGCAGTGTATGCAGCAGAAACCTTCTGTGAAATTAGACCTCATTCAACACAATTTCTTAACGTGACTGCGTCTGCATACTGATGATCTTGTCGTTGCCATAATAGCACTGTTTAGTCATATAACAAAAGAAAAAAAAATAAAGCACTGCACATGCAGTGATAAAATCCATTCAGAAATATTCAACTCGCGAACACCGCACAAAGTAAGAAAATTTCGTTGACAGCAATACGACGGTTACCTCTTTTGGGCTCGAGCACCAACCCACCGGAATATGCGGCTTTTTTCTTCATCGAATAAACTTCTTCAGCGTTAGCATCGTCCTGTTGGTTAAATTAAGTACGTTTAACAAATAACAGGAATCAGACTTTACGAACATTCTGTTTATTCTTCCTACTGGGGCATTTGTCGGGATAGATGAAGTTCTGCTCATTAAACGCATGCAGCAATAAGAATTCACTTCGTTCTGATCGACCACCCAAAAGTGTATTCGACTAAAAACAATAGTTTGTAACAGAAAAGCAAAAGTCTACCAAAATGGAGTAAAATTACCCAAACTCCGCCCACAATGCGAGCAATTTCGGCAGTCAGCGAGAGACAGGCAAGTTTCTTGCAAATGCGCCATACCAACGACGCCTCGAACACCACCATTTTGGTCAAATCCAACAGTGCATCAGACGTTCTGTAACATGTGGCAAAATATGATAGCAGAAAACAAACGTAGCCAAAATCTGAACAAGAACAGATCAAAATTAATGCTGTGGGGAGAGGACCTTCATATCCGTTGTTTCCTTTCGTTCATACTCAGCTACCTGTGGATGCATCCTTCCACAACGTGTCAGAAAGGACGTACCTTCTACAGTGAACATAGGACATCATGAAATAAACTACCGACGTAGCGCACTAGTTTTGCTAGATACTAGACATATTGAACATAATTAGACATACTAGCATAATGTTAGATCATTCTTTCAAACAATGCAATAGATTTTTCTACCCATTAAAAGGAACAAAATCAAGAAATATTACAACGTTTACATGGAGTGTATCTGAAATACTGCTCCAGTTTCGGCAGCGCTGCATTTTCGCTAAATAAAAGTAAGAATCCCAGAGATGCACCGCACGACCAAGTGTGAAGTTAAAATTTTACTGCAAACTTTCTGACGTGTTTTTAGCGTTTGCTACGTCAGATTCTGCAAACATGCAGTTTACAACAGATATAACTTATAGCGGATATTTTATTATTTGTCTGAAAAATAATATCAGTTGTCACTTTACATTCAGGACGTAGATAGCGTGATTTATTAATCTACGCCAGACCTGATGTGGTATCGTTTATTTTGAGCATATTGGACAATGTTGTCCACTGAAGGTGGCTATAAAGACAATTGCTTTCGAAAGGTTCGGAGATCATCACGGGTGATCAGCTGATCGCTCGTTCCGCAAGTTGTGAATCAAAAATTAATTCCAGAATAAAAGAACCGACAACGTCAGGAATAGTTCTACTCAGTATGTCAAATGGCTTCATTTTTGCCGAAAACGAACAGATACGCCGATAAACATACACGTAAACCTCACTTGTAGCAGTCCTGCACATTTTCTGTATTCCATTCACTTTCGTAAAGCAACTGTCCAGCGATCTGTTGTAGCGTGTAACCCTTAGCATGCATAAACTCCTTCGCCATAATCTTCGTGTCGCAGTAAAGACGGCCAGCAGTAACCTCATGAATCACTGCTTTAAAGTGCTGAAATGTATAACAATTTTAAACACAAAACTCTTTAACTGCAGCTTATAAAAACACAGAATTCAGCACTACTGTGGAAATAACTGTGGTAATATATTTAACAGTTCATGCGTAGATCATTTATCAGGAAAAGAAAATTTTATACTGGTGGCACAACAACAACTCCGCCATTGCGGGTCCTAAGTCCGAAAGAGAAAAAAGGAGGGGTGGGGAACATGGCAACTTTCTAGCAAAACTAAGCCAGCTGTTTCCATGGTATTGCTGTTACCGAACGTTACACCGGCTTGATTGTCGTCCACGTTACCATGGACTGCGCAGGCTATCAGGAAACTGAAGCTTATGTGAAAAGTAGGCGATATGAATCCATTCCACTCCATATGGCAGCTAGGGTCGTAGCTGAATAACGAACGGTGAACAATAATACAGAATAGTGGTGCCTTCTACATGCTTCCGGCGGCATCGAAAATTTTTTTTTGCCACTTAAACACACAGTTTACCTTAACTGACCGTAAATAAATCGAAAGATGCCTTGTGAGATGTCCTTAGCTCGATTTTGAGGCGTCAAAAGTCTGCATCTTAATTCATTGCAAGGTCAGATAAGGCGATAAATTTTATTATAATGGACTATTTCTGCTCTGTAAAAAGAATACTCTGTAGTTACTTAAGCTTGGGAAAATAGCCTTCGATGAAGCAACACTGACAACTGGCCATCACAATAGGATGCCATACCCTGCCAAAACATGGACATAAATTTTTACCTAAAATGAACAGATATTTATACTGTTGCACAATCAATAAAATTTGGTAAGCAACGGTTTGAGTTTCGAAAACTTCAACTTCCAGTGTGAGAGGACTAGTTGACAACGCGGCGCGTTGCAGGAAACGAAATTTTTTTCCATTATTGAACTGATTGATAGGATTGCTACATTCGAATAAGTTTGTTTTTCACTAGAATGGCTCCTTTAGTCAATGTGACTAGGTACTCTTGTTTCTTATATTTAAGACTACAACTATTTATTTTTTGCGAAAAACGTAACTGTTCTTTAAACTCCTTTTGCGCACATTTAAAATTAAATGAATGAACTTTTGAATGAACTAACGGAAGATGCTGGAATCTGCCCTGTGTTCTTCAGGCGACCGAAACAAAACCAGTTGAGAACCTTCGTACTGCGCATTCTATGAAGCAGGTTCGGTATTTCGTAGCTGATCAAATCGTGAGCCTGAAACAGCAGCTTTTTAAAAGTGCGAAACTTCGCAGACAACAAAAAACTTTACGATGACAATGTCAGGGTCAAATTTTCGAATCTTCATCAAAAAGCAATTGAGCAGCGACCGTTCGTTGGGAACAATTTCAACCGTTGTCGAGGCCTAATCAATGTTAGTTAGTCAACCTTCGTCAGCGGCCAGCTGCAAATGTCCAGAAACACTTGAATGAAAGGTACTTGCCTCACGTTCCAGCTTGCCACGAAAATCATATGGAAACTGAGTGCCTGCCGTTTTGGTCAAGACTGAAGGCATGATCTCAGAAACAGTACGGTTACAGCAACAACTTACTGCAAGCATGGTCCCAGTTTACGGTGTCGACCGATGAATCTATATCCAATAACGAAGAACGATTTACCCAAAGACCAATAGCCACCGACTACAAGCAAAAACGCATGGATGCTGTCAATAAATTGGAAACGCTTGTACGATCGAAAAACAAAACCTCATCTTGCCGGCTCTTCATATCCCGCACAGTTTTAACGCTAAAACACATTATGCACAACGGAGGCAATGCTGTTTCTTGCAACGGATGCACATCAGCCATGTTTGCATTGAACTGAAATGTCCATGAAATTGGAAGCGAATTTTTAACCTCAATAAAGTACCTCGATCGCACACA